GAGGGAGGCAACCCTCTCGTCTACCGGTGTGAACCCCAATGTACAGGCACTCAGCCGGGGGGGGCAATGAGTATGCCCACACCTGCTCTACGCCTCTCACAATGGGCAACTCCAGAGTGGAAGAGAGTCCAACCCCTCTCGAGAGAACTGGTACCAGAGCCGAGGCTGTGTGTGGAGGCAAGTCTGACTATATCTAGTCCGAACTTTTCTACCTCGCACACCAGCTCGAGCTTCTTCCCTGCAAGAGAGGTGACATTCCACGTCCCGTGAGCTAGCTTCTGTAGCCGAGGATCGGACCGCCAGGGTCCCCGCCTTTGGCTGCCGCCCAGCTCACACTGCACCTGACCCTTTGGCCCCTCCCATAGGTGGTGAGCCCATGAGAAGGGGGACCCACATTGCCTCTTTGGGCTGAGCCCGGCCGGGACCCATGGGTGTTGGCCCGGCCACCAGGCGCTCGCCAACAAGACAACTTAGCTCCTAGGATCATTGGGACACACAAACCCCTCCACCACACTAAGGTGACGACTCACGGAGGGACACATTTTTTTAATCCTTCTTTAAAAATTTGTGTTTGGCATGTTAACCAATTATTTTATTTTTTTTAACATTCTATCACAAAACTGCATATCCTCATGTTCTGCCCTGGTCAGAAGAGTTATGTGTCCAACTAGTGTTGTTTATCCACGGGAGGGGCATATTTCTACATGGCCTTGCATTTATAAAGCAATGAATCTGAATTGTCTGTCACAAAAGTGAGGACAGCGTCCTCAGTTTGTGTCTTTTGTTATCCTAGTGATGCATTCCACAGGGGGGCTTGGTTGCATAGGTTGAGTGGAACGTTAAATTTGGCAGAGGGAAGCGCCAGTGTCAAGAAGGTGACCTCTTGTGGGCACCTCGGGTATGACAGGCACAGTACCTCCTTTCATTAGATTGATGTCCTGATGAATGTTTTGTGCATTCAGGACAAATTTATATGAAGCCACCGTTAGGCTTGGAGCGTGACAATGGGAAGTTGCTTTGGTTGGCGTTGAAACAGACAATAGTATGCACTTGTGAACAAATTTTCCTTTGACTGGAATCAATCAAGGGCACGAAACGACAGCAGGTCCTGACCGATAAGAAGAGGAACCAAATGAACCAGGGGAACATAGAAAGGGTGCAGTTTGTGTGGTCCAATTGTCCTCTGTACAAGCACACGGGAGTCCAAACGACTGTTCGTTAAGACGAATTATTATTTCCTGAGCAATGTTGGAGGTGGAGCGTCAAGCCCACCTGGCTTGAAGTTGGTTGAACTGCTGTTTATGACTTTGATGTCAGCACCTGGGTCAACGAATGCATCACGGTTTAGTACTAGTTCAAGTTTGGTCTTGAAATTAAGTGTTGTTTAAGACACCTTTAACTTATAATTGTCCCAAAACTTGTTTTAATGGTTATTTGAGTTGGGTAATGTGCTTAAGCAGAATGTGAGGGAATCGCAGGTTCTAGCTGGATTGCAAGTACAGTGCTATTAGGCAATGGCCTCTGGAAGACTGTCATTGTACATTTTGCGGAGCGCATCAATGACCTCTCCCCAGATTTTGCTGTGTTGTGAGGAGCAACCTGACGTGGGTGGTGGTTCCTGAGACCTGTCTGTCAGGACAGGCTTCAGTTTGTGGATTTTGTTTTTGCAACGGCTTTCCCCCAGTCACAGCTATGGCTGGAATTACGTATGTCTCCTCCTTGGCCGCGAAAGTGCACTGTGGCCATGTTGGTGGTCCTGAGGGGGACCATTTTGAGGCCATCATGCAGGTTTCGACGGGAAAGCGATGCAATCCTCTTGCTTTATCGTGATTCATCTGACATTTGTTGAATTTGGCCTGGATTACGATCAACCTGGTAGGTTTACAGACCGGTTCATTTTGTGGAGTTTTATTTATTTATTTATTTATTTTTTAAATATTGCAAAGGCCTGAGCCGCAAGATCACTTAGCTCTAAGCTACTTACCATGCGCGGACAGTGATAATTTTACAGTTTACCCGCAGTGAGTCCCAGGGACTCGCTGATCAGAAAAGTATGAGTCCCATTATGCATTTAGACAGTCCCAAATTTCGAATTTTGAAATGGTCTACTCATTCAATTGCATATGATAATAACACAAACAGCAACATATACATACAATTATAAACAAATGCTGCAAACATTTAAATAATTCAGTAGCAGGCCTGAGGATTTTGGAAATTCACGGCAACCGTTTTTCTGTTCCGTCGGATTACCCAATGGGAAACCACGGTAACTAATTTTGGGCTCCGTGAACGTTCATCATAGGAACCCATTTTTCTATTTGAACAATGAACATTACATCAGCAGCTGTGTACTCCAGGTTTATTCAAAAAAATAAATGGATCAAAAATTGGTGTACTCATATGGTATCATGAATACAGCATACCACAAAATCAGAGTATTTTTTCCAATCTCACACTACAAAGATTAATTTACTTTTAATCATTAATACAGGTAAGTATTGATGTGGCTTGACATGCTCTTCCCAAGACGATGCATGTGTTATCTACTATCAATTTGATGAAAGAATCAAACACACGTCATCATTAGTTCTACCAACAGTTAACATTAGCATTACTACACCTTGTGACGAATGTTTTATTCCTAAAATTACCATGCTACAACCAGTAAAGAATAGAATAAGCAGTACTGTTTCATAATATTTTTCATAGCGATTAGCCTATAGATCTAATGACCAACATGCCTCGTAATCGTGCCTCGCATCGTATCTCGCTCTCGTGTTCTGTGCATACATCCCAGGTGAGTTTAGTGATACGCCCTTTGGACGATTCATACGAAAAATCAGACTGGCATTCCCATTTCTTAAATGTCATAATTAGACCTTTGTGAGTTTTTTTCGCCACCATCTCAAACTTTCGTCCGCGCAATTCCTCAGTTTGCGGACTAAAATAGCAACCCGCATGCGCATATCACGTTATCTGTTCTGTCCCCCTAAACACTGAAAACAAAACAAAACGAAAGTAAATTAGAAGAAGCACACCACACCACAAACACACATACAGGCACAGTGAAATCACGTTGATCACACAGGAGAGATTTGATCGCATACAGTCAACTCGTGTGCGGTGACTTTTTTGGTTAAACGATTTTTTGGTACTGTTAAAATGACGCCACGGAAACGACACGCTACCGGTAAGGATCGTTACCGTGAAATCCTCAGGCCTGCCGTAGTTTTTTTTTTTTTTTTTTTTGCATGAGAAATTTCCTTGCGTCCCAAAAACGCACATTATTTGGAACTGCGCGTCCCGCGGGAAAATTATGCGCCTAGGACGCGGGACGCAGAGGTAACGAGATGGCTGGCAGATAAGCAGTCTCGCCCAGGAGGTGACTTGTGTGGGTGGAGGTTTTCCACAAAAAGTATTTTGAAATCTACTTTTTCTTTCATGTTGGGTTTGTTAAAATGTCCAAACTATGGTTTGCACAAACGACAATACAATAATAAAGGTTTGGTGGCTCTTTGCAGCACTGTTGAATCGTCCAGGCAGTCAAAAAGCTACTTGCGTCTGTTAGGCCATCAGATTCGCGGGACAATGTTTGGCACAGTGCTCGATAGTCATGAGCCATTTACCCATTTCTCAAGTGGAAGTCAATTTGATGAGATCTATCTTGTTGGTCATTGTTGCTGGTGGGAATTTTCTCAGGTGATATTCAAAATCCTTGATGTACCCAGAAAAGTTATTAGAGCCCTCTTGTTGAGGTAAAATTTTGTGATGTGTCGTAAATTGTATCCAAGTCTTTCATGGACACGCCTGGTTGTACAACATCATGAGGAAAAGGAGGACCTGGTGGCTGTGAAGGCAAAAGAAAATTGGCAGCAACTGAAGGCACAGAAGGATGTGTGATACCTGGCTTAGGTGCTGAATGATGTTGCCTGGCTGAGGTATGGAAACAGGAAGTGTACTGCTTGGCTGCGGCCCGGAAGCAGAAAAGATTGCACCTCTCAGTTGAACTGCAGAGCGAGGGCTTGCAGCTCTTGTGGAGCGGAACCCAGAAATGTAATTGCTGTGGAAGAGACAGTGAAGTGCAGCTAGTGGCTGGGAAGCCGACCCAAGAACTGCAATAAATTGTAGTAGCACTTCCAAAGTAGGTGCAGGTGCGCGCAACGGGGATGAGTTGAAATTCAGTGGGGAGTCGGAAATGATGCAGGTCCCAGAGGGGAATCTCCAAAGAAGTGCTGTGGCAAGGTGGTAAATTGCGTAACGCGGGGCATGTTAGGTTTAACCTGGTGTGACTTGTCATGCTGCCCGTGACTGAACAAACGTGATTGCACGCCAAGTAATTCAGATTGGTGTTTACCGTGCTTCTAAATTAGTTAACTTGTTCCTAACCTGTGCCTGTATCTGTTATTCTCCTCTTAAGACACTTTTCACCTTGTCAAGATCTTGGTCACTCAATTTCCACCATGCTATGACATTTAAAACAGTATAGCTCAAAGTTTGTGCCCTGTCTGTATGTGTTAAGGTTTCATTTAAAGTATTATTGAAGTTGGGCCATGTTTGTATCCAAAATTTCACGACTAACATCCTTTATGGTTTAGCAGAATTTGGAATGAGTCCTTTGGTCAGGTTCACAAGTGCATTTTCTAAAATTGCCATGGTTTAAAGTAGCTTTATTGCTATCAATTAAGATGGGTGTATGTTTACTTTAATCAACTTGGAGTTTATTTTTAACAATTTCAGACAATGCTTAGGGGTTGGCTTGATGCTAAATTCGTTGATTCAAAAGATTATGATTTGAAGTCAAAACCTTACTCTCCCAAATTATTGACGACAGAAACCAACAGCAATTTTTATTACTCTAGAAGAGTGAAAAAAACTGTCAATCTAACACCAGAGGAGTCATAAAAACAAACGTAAATACACTTGTAAAAGCTTACTACAATGGCACTTGACACACCGAAGCATTAGCAATGCGGCTTTTGTACACGAGGTTACGAGGCAATGCAAGCTTAGCTTGTCGGTGAGTGCTATGAAGAAGTTGCACACTCATTTACTGGTTTCAAATTATGTGTTCTCATGACGTAAGCGCGACAGCTCGTGAAAGATCACGATTTAGACTCCCGATTTAACGAATGTGATCAAGGTGGTGGTTGTACTCATGACTGGCGCATTATTGACCACACTGAGGCTTATAGTTTAGATAAATCAGTCAAAGTTGCTCCAACCACACCAACAAAAGCCTTAAATTGCAACAGCTGTGTTTAAATGGCTGGCAAGTGAAGCTTAATAAAATAAAGTGCTTTCACGACAGCTGCAGCTGCAACAAAGTGATTTACACAACATCTAACAGTCAATATGAATCAAACCACTCAAAATCAGTACCTCAAGGCAACAAAAATTAAAAAGTACAAAGTGAGTAGCTCAATTGTGAAGTGGTAATGCGTATACCACTGACAATTGTTAAGCTTTGAGGAGCGACAACTGGAATTCCTTGATGGAATTCCTGTGCCCAAAAATGTCTCCAAGTGTAAATATTGAATGATGATCTTTTATCATTTCTACGTGTAATTTCAATCAATGTTTTAAAGTCATCTATGTATTTTGTCCTAGTGTATTTGCCGTACTTGGGGAACTCTTGTGCATGCACCACACATTGCGCAGGGGCCAGAAATATCGCAACTGTAGTTGCCATGGACTGGTAGTCCGACCACAACGTTTTACTTTACTGCAGTTTTATTATTGTAAAGAACAACATTTCGAAAATAACAACCAGTGCTGCCATGTTTGATGAAGCAGATCCAATACAGTGGTGCAAGTGGGAGGGTAAAGCTACAGAAGCCCATGGGGGTGAAAAGCTCACTGCAGCAAAAGGAGAAGCGGGGAGAGCAAAACCATTTATTATTTTGTAAATGGTCCCCAACTAAAAATTAGAATTCTTAAAAAAATCTGAGCCCATATTGAGAAATAAATGTTTTATTCCTGTACTGGTAAAACATTTCCGTTTTTGTGATATTATACGTTTGCAAAATTGTATGTCAGTAAAGTTTGTGGGTTATTTGAAAATCGTCACATTGTATTTTTCATTCTTTCTGTTATGATCTCTTTATTTTTGAAGAGTACATGGAGTACATGGATTCAATTCTGATTCGCAGGTCATTCTTTACGAGCACGAATAACGAAGCAGGATTGAGAAGTCATTTTATTAACATCAGCAAATATGAAGCAGGATTTAGATATAATCATTGACAGTTCCAAACATTTGTTTGACCAAATATGTGCAAGAAACCTGAAGAGGAATAAAACTTTAACCATACCCGTTACTCCATCCACATGGTCAAATCATCAACAGAATGTCTTCACCGGATGGAAATAAGAATGATTTTATTGAGCCAGAGGCCACAACCAATACACGTTTTCAAACAAGGGGCAACCTCGTCCCTTGTAGAACTGAAGGCCAAGATGAAGTGACACTTGATTTGATTTGTAGTGTTCTAATAGTGCAGTTAGTCAACATTTTACTTTGAAATATTTGTAAATATTTATTTCTGTAGATATTCTGTTATTATTATTATTATTATTATTATTATTATTATTATGATTATTTTTTTTTTTTGGTGGGGGGGCATGGCTCAGTAGTTGTTTCCCAACCCAAAGGTTAGGGGTTCGATCCTCTGCCATTGCAACCCTGTCGAAATGTCTTTGAGGAACAAGATAATGAACCCCTAGTTGCTCCTGATGCGGTGTCATCAGTAGGTAAATGAGGTAACAGTGTGAAGCGCTTTAGAGCACCAATGGCAGAGAAGTCAAAGTCCATCCTTCATCTTTTAAAGTGGGCGTCAAAAAGCCAATAAATTGGTCCAGGGCAAAGGGCCTAATTGTCTTAAGGTTCATTTTGTTATTAAAAAAAGTCGTGAAGTTGCATTTTTACATATGCTTGTGAAATGGGAATTTGTCTTTTGAATGTTGCCCATGAGTGAGATTGTCACATCGTCTTTTTGTGGTTTTCTATAGGACTGGGTTGACCACATAAATACTGTTAACCACACAGCAGCCTGCAGGGACCTGCGCAACAAGTGAGGATAGAGTTGCTTTGCTTGAACCTTTTAGCACCTTTATTGAATGTTACGTGAAAAGATGTTTTCTGTTTTCATGAAGGTATCCTGATTGGAAACCAGATCTGAAAAGGTTAGTTTTATTTTCATTGTAACCACAATTGTATCACAGTATTAATCAATAACGCAACATATTTTTCATGGTTCTTGATACCTCACTGCATTTTTTTAACAATGATGCACAACATGAAAATTCAAACCGATACTGAGCACCGATAATTTCCATGTTAGTATGGCCGATATCGACCTATATATATCATTTGTATTTCTATACTACAAATATATTATTGCAACTTAAAAGAAGAAAACGTTTCAATCATGCGTCTCGACGTTGTGGGATGGTCGGAAGCTGTCAGCGAGTTCCTCCCCTGAGGTGGTGCCAATGCCTTTGGGCTGCATTAGGCCAAAGGAAGCCTCGGCTGTGGCTCTCATTCTTTGAAATGAATGGGACCGTGCGCCGGTGAAAATGTTTACCACAGGTTTCAGTATTTATCCTCTAAAGATTGATTTTAGAGTTGAGCTTTCAATTTTGGCCTAATTTCTCAGTATCCGACCATTTTGTTCCAATATATGGCCAATAATTATCGGTCCAATAAATATCGTGCATCCATAAATTAAATTCAGCTGCAATGTGCCCAGTGTCTTACCTACTGTAGGTGGAATTGACATTACAAATTGATTCACCATTGTCAAGAAATGAAACATTTTGTGCACACCATATTTGTAAGTTAATTAACCCTTCACTTTTCAATTCCACTCCACAGCAAAAGCAGAGTGGAACCGCACAGGCTGCACACGAGACCTCATTCTCCCCAGGACCATCGCCAACATCACTGCACAGGTTGGCCACCGGGCACAATATTGGGTCTTTGGTTTTTTTTTTCTTAAACTCCATTTCTGGTAGCTGTTGACATTGTGCAGAAGTACACCAATTCTTTTCTTCAGCCCGTGTTTTCATTGACATCATGTTGGAAAAAGCACATGATTCTCATACCATGGGTTATCAGTAGATTGCTATCCTTTTTTTATTAACTGAAGCCTTTTTTTCTCCCACATCTTTAGGAGATTCATCACATCATAGTGGCTTAAAACGCCCTTATAATGATCTGAATAAGCACTCTGCTGACACCAGCTGCGTCTCCAAGGCTGATCAGAGCTCTAAATATGGAAAATCTCATTCTTCCACGAAAACTGTCAAAAAGTCAACGAAGCCTGGGACCGAAACCAAAAGGACTGCAAATGCCAAGGCTGCTGACCCAGTGGGTGTATTTCACTTTTTAAATACATAAATAGTAATAAAGATTCTAAATACAGTGGAACCTCGATTAAATATACCCTTAACCAACAGATCCCAGATTCAGCGGACATATTAGTTACCCTTCACCAACAGATCCCGGATTCAGCGGACAGAATAGTGTCTAGTCCATTCTAAAGTTTCCATTGTACAATACCTTTCAAAGTCTTATAGTTCCAGAATTGGCGGTAATTCTCCACAGTGCCACTTTCAGTGCCATTCTTTTCTCTGCTCTCTCATCACTGATGAACAGTAGATTACAGCATGGTAAAAAGCACATCACTGTGAAAGCCTTCTTGGCAGGGGTGACTTACCCATCAAAACAATGTATGTATAGCCAGACATGGTGGACGTGTTAGCAATGGAGCACAGACACGATCTTAGCATCTGCCATGGGCCTGCATCTAGCTCAAAAGGAGCATGCCTTATTGACCTATTTCTTTCTGTGGCTGTTGTTTTTAGTGTAGCGAGTAGTGTGCATGTATCTCCACCATGCTATTTTTGGTACAGTACAGTTACTCTTTTGTAAAAGCCTATACAGTATAAGCATACAGTGAAATTCCTCTACAACGAAATCATGTTTGCAGCAAGAAATTTTTCACAACAGAGGGTTTTTCACTGCAGCAAATTTTATCTCAGATGTAAACGCACACACACACACACAAATGTATGTGTACACGCACACACAAACGTATGTGTACTCTGTTTATTCCAATAGTGCATAAGCATGAGCACACACTTATTTGACACTTCATATTGTCAGTGTAGAAAGAAAAAAAGGGAAAGAAATTGCGAAATTTACGATTAGCATTCACTTTCACTTACATCAATTTCTTGGATAATGTCTTTTATTTTGCTTGCTCCGTCTTTCATTTTGATCACTTTTACCCTCTCTTCCAGCATCAGAGCTCTTCTTGTCTTAACTGCTTGACATCAAAAGGTCCGTTTTGTAGCCATTTTAGCAATGCAACGTCCATCCTCGTCTGAATCTAACAATAACAAATACTTCCTGGCATGCAATGAACTTTTAAGCCAGCCACGGGACGCTTCATAGTCCTCGATGGCCATAGTTAGCTCTTGAAGGCTAAAAACCTGACGCTAACTGGAGCGCTAGAAGAAGCGCTCCAGTTAGCGTAAGGATTTTAGCCTTTGAGAGCTAACTATGGCCATCGAGGACTACGAAGCATCCCGTGGCTGGCTTTAAAAGTTCATTGCATGACATCAGCTGAGCAACGCTGTCTTGGGTGGCGATCAAGGGGAGGTCGAGTTAGAGACAGTGAGATAGTGGAAAGAAAAGCCACCGGGTCCAGGTAGTATTTGTTATTGTTAGATTCAGATGCAGCATGAACGTTGCATTGCTAAAATGGCTACAAAACGGACCTTTGGATGTCAAGCAGCTAAGACAAGAAGAGCTCTGATGCTGGAAGAGAGGGTAAAAGTGATCAAAATGAAAGACGCAGCAAGCAAAATAAAAGACATTATCCAAGAAATTGATGTAAGTGAAAGTATAAGCAATTTACTCTGAGCAGCGAATCGGATACTACGGATCTAGCTTCAGTATCTACACACATAGACAGTGGGGTCCCTCTTGGCCAATCGGGGGCCAGGATGATGCTCAGTAAGCCAATGGCAGAGCAGCTATGAGTATGTTGAGTCCAGGAAACTCGCAGCTGTGACCGAAATAAACATCGTTCACTATGTAAACCAGTGTGGTGGTTGCTGTTACCTTTTTTTGAACGAAGCAGTAGAGGTCGCGGTTGGATAAGACTTCGTTGTAGTGAATGTCTTATTAAGCAACGGGGGTTTTCATCGTATGGGGCGCAGTAGAATGGGAATTGTGTTAATGCATGAAGATTTTTTTCACATAAGGGGGTATTTTCGCCCATGTAGGTTTCGTTCTAGAGGAGTTTCACTGTATAAGAAAACCTTTAATAGTCTCACAATGGAGACATTCCCACTTCACAGCAGCAAAGTTATGAGAGGAAGAAGTAGAAGAACAAAATAAATAGGAGCTGCTGGAAAGGCAGCCACTCTCGCGGCGCCATCTTGAAGTCAAAATAACACAACAAACCACATAAGACAGACAGTCGTGCAATCTTAATCACTTTTCCTGCATACACTTTGTTGTTTGAAGCAGTTATAGATGAAAGAGGAGAGGATCAAAGTGTTCTTTCACCAGTGCATCAGAGACGTCATGCTGAAAATTTGCACACGTCTTCTACAAGCTCAGTTTTGAAAGCCAACACGAAGCTGTCGCGTCCATTGACGAAAAGAGATTGGCTCCCATCCATCCATCCATTTTCTGAACTGCTTTATCCTCACAAAGGTCGCGGGGTGTGCTGGAGCATATTCCAGCTGTCTTTGGGCAATATGCGAGGGACACCCTGAACCAGTTGCTAGCTAATCGCAGGGCAGACAGAGACGAACAACCATCCACATTCACACCTAGGGACAATCTTGAGTGTCCAATCAGCCTGCCATGCATGTTTTTGGAAAGTGGGAGGAAAACTGAATACCCGGAGAAAACCCACGCAGGCATGGGGAAAACATGCAAACTCCACACAAGAAGGCCGGAGCTGGGATCAAACCCATAACCTTTGCACCGTGAAGGCGACGTGCTAACCAGTCGACCACCGGGCCGCCTCAAAGCTAAACAAAAGGCTTTATACGCACATTTGCACATGTGTTTGTGACAAATTGGTATCCTGAAGCTGAAAAGAACATTTATTTCAACATGCAACCAATCCCGAAAAGAAAATGGCAACTTCAGAAAAATGCACAGCTCGGCCTAAAAATGCATTTAAAGCGATAAAAACTGCAATTGGGTGTCAAAGCTAAACAATCCTTATCTCCACATTTCTTTTGTATAATTTGACAACCTGAAGCCTAAACTGGCGTTAGCTTAATCATTCAGCAAATCCATGTCAAGAAAAATGCAACTTGAGAAAAGTGCACACCTAAGCCTGAAAATGCACTTCGAGTGATAAAAACTGCAATTGAGTGTTAAAGCTAAACAAAAGCCTTTATATACTGATCTCCACATATATTTTGTACAACTTCAACATTAATCGAACACAGTACCTCTGCACTGTGAGGTCGATGCGCTAGCCACTTGATCACCGGGCCGCCAACAGTATTTATACTTTACATATTTGAAACAAAGACGTATTTACTGGAATCTTTAATTATAAAACCTTAGACAGTAATTAACATTCATCAGCATTGCCTTCTGAGAGAAACAAAGAGACTTGTGTTCATCTCACTTTACGCTTTGACAGCCGTTAGCCTCCAACTAGCTCCTGGACAGCTATCCCCGCACAGCTGTTGTGTTTATGATAAGACAATCTGTGTTGATGAGGAGGAGGTGAAGAGAGATGTGCTGCTTTTTTTCGGACAAGCCCAACCACCCCTTCCCCTCTCTCTTTCTCTCGCACCCCATCTCTCTGTCTCGCTCTCTCTTTTGCTCCCCCCCACTCCCCAACTGCATTGCACATAGCAAACACAACAACAGCATGGCTAGACACTGATCAGAGAGTCAACTGCATGACGAGACACAAGGGAAGGTGCTGGGCGGGACTGTGAAGATGCGCAGCCAATCAGCTCACGGGATAAATCCAATGATGCTGTCATTGAGTGAGTTTCGCTGCAGTAGACTTTTTTTTTTTTTGCCTCGGGGTGCTTACACATGCCTGCCAATTTTCGTTGGCCTAGGTCAAACCTGTTCTGTGATTGGTTTTACTTTTTCACTCTAGGTGATGCTACAGAGCTATTTTATTTACCGTAAATTCCGGGCTACAGACCGCACCTGATTAAGAGCAGCATGCTCAGATTTATGAAGAAAAATCAATTTTGTAATTATATGCGCCGCACCATATTATAAACCGCTGGCCAATGAATAGGCGGGGGTTTGCTTCTGCGTCCCTGCCGCCTGGAGTGCCTCCAGGTGAGGCCGCGGACGCGGTCCCCCGCTGAACCCCCGCAGAAAAAAACGCAACAATTTCTTCAGGTTAAAATAATCTCCATATTTTTATGAGCATGATAAATGCATTTGCACAACGAAATTACGCTGAAAAACAGAAGAGGCCAGACAAAGAGAGATCTTGATGCGCATTTGCGTAATTACGAGAAGAAATACTGCAGCCCACTAGGCAGTTTTGTGTCCAAGGACCGGCAACCCGAGGCCAAGGCCAAGGACTTGCCTCCGAGGCCAAGGCCAAGGACTTGGAAAATTTTCCGAGGCAAGGCCAAGGCCAAGGACTTGAGAAATTTTCCGAGGCCAAGGCCAAGGACCAAGGGCTTGCTTCCGAGGCCAAGGCCAAGGACCAAGGACTGATTTTGAAACTGAGGCCTAGCCAAGGACATGTATAAAACAATGCTATCATACCACTTGGCAGGTCCTCATGATTTGCAACACCCCTCCATCATAACCCTTTGCTCTCCCTAACATTTGAATGAAGTGTTTTTATTCAAAGAGTAGAACAGTCAGGGTACGTGTTATTTATACTGAGAAAAAGAAATAAAATCATATGATATACATTTATGAATGAATGTTTTAGTGCAGTAGTTTCTTAATATGAAGTAAATCAACACTCAACAGGCATCACATGGCACGGAACACAAGTTGAGAAATGACTTTGCATAGAAGTCAATCACTGACTGCAGAAAAAGCGGTAATCTCTCAGTGATAATTTTACAGTTTACCG